TGCAGGAATACACACAACTTTTCTGACTGCAGATACATCCGGGTAAAACGATCGCCACACCTGTGTACACTGCTCCTCAAGGTGATCCATTGAGCTGCAAAAGGCACATGCAAGGCCTTCTTCCTTGGTCAAAGCCAGTTTCTCAGTGCATTGGCCTGCTTGGTGGCCAAGTTGGCGGCATTTGTTGCATCGTTCCTTTCCAGGGCAGCAGATTCTTGAGTGTTCCAAACTTCCACATGAGGAGCAGATAAGGGATGGGCAGCTAGGTGCCAGATGTGTATTCAACCCACAGAGAAGACACATCTGGGCAGGATCCATAGCTGACGGGAAGTATCTGCGCTGTTGTTCTAGTGCATTATCACCGGTGGGAACATTCCGGTGAGTGTTAATCGGTGGTAAGCTCTGAGAATCTGAAACTTTGGGTGTTAAGTTACCATTTGCAGGTATCTTCGTGCCTGATGGGTACCTTTCTCTGCCATCTTCACCAGTCCTCTCACTCTTGTTTAAGGTTGGTTCGTACTCAGCTTCGCTTTCGGAGCCATCCTCGTCCCTTTCGTCAATTTCTCCCTCGCTTACGCTAGAAGCGCGTGAGTTTTTACTCTTTTTGACAGGTTCCTGTCGGGGTTGCCTTGTCACCCAGCTGTCGAGAGTTGGCTGATTAGGCCCACAACCGCCCAAAGAATGGAGATTTCCAATAAGAGCTTGAAGGTCGCCTGTGCTTTCAAGCTCCTTTGCAACTTGCTTTGCGTTCTTTCTCTTTTTAGGCTTCAAGCCAGCGTGGTGGTCAATATAGTAGCCATAAGCAGAGTAAGTTAATGATGAGGTAATGGCATCACATTTTCCCGGGTTTTGGGCATGGAATGCCTTGACCCAATCCTTGAACCTTTTAAGCCAGGAGCCGCCTTTTTTATCCACGAGGTTGGGTATTTTGAAGCTGGCACTACCTTGCTTGTAGTCAGGGATTTCGCCAGAATCTTCGGGTGCGGAGTCACCTGATGTGATTGACTGCGCTGAGGACTTGCCAACGGCTGTCAACTCCTCTGTGGGCTTTGGTCCTTTTACAGATTGCTCCTCGATTCTGGGGACTTTGGCCGCACGCGTATGACTCCTCAAACGCTTGGGCTCAGGTACTGAATCATCCTCGAGGGGCCTCTTCTTGGCAGCAGCAGCTGCTGCTGCTGCTTCGTCTCCACTGGACAAGTAGATGACCTCACCTGGGTCAAATTCTTCATCTGCCATGCCGATGCGCAACGAAGTTCAGCGCGATACTTATGCGGTACCGGCGGTCCTTATCGGTGCTGAGAGACGTGCCAGCTCGAATGCAGTATCGAATTTGAATCTATGTGTTTCGGACCTTGGCGCATCCGACTTGACATGAAACTCAACCCCAAGCAAATTTCTCAGGGCCACTTGGCTTCCTCGAAATTGTTCGTAACTATCCTAGTGAAAGAAACTTAATCAACACTGCTCGCCGATGAGCGAAGGGGGCGCGAATGCATCCGAATAAGATCTAGTCATAAGGTGGCGCGATGATTGATCATACACAACCTCCCATTTGGCTTGAAGAAAGCCAGGGGCTTTCAACGAATGGGACTATGAACGTACCTGAGCGTCGCAAGTGAAAAATCACTTCCGAAAAGAGTTTGCCAACAATGAAAGATCGTTCGTGCACGGCTTCTGAAACTTATGACGGTATCGTGACTAAGACTCCCAGTTTCGCAAAGGCAAGGTGCGAGGAGGTTATTTGGCGGTGCCAGGGAGATGCGAAATGAAAGCTGTGATGATATCGATAAGCCTGCTATGTTAAGTTAGATCCCAGTTGGGAGAAAATTCCGCAGCCAGCGAATGAGAGATGCAGGCCCACAGGCGGAAGATGTCTGTCTCACTCTCAAGTTCCGTGGCTATTTTTAAACTCCGAGGATTATCCAGACCTCCAGGGTAACCGCTCCGCCACGACTAATCTTGGTTTCCTAGATGAGTTACCATGAACGCCTGGATGTTCTGAGAGATGTTCGATATCAGCCGATTTCCAAAGATGCACATACACCGGTCAACATATCGTGGGTCTTTATCGGCTGTCCTGCCCTTTGCTTCGTGGTCATACTTGCAGTTCTTATGGCGCCGAGGACAATAAGTCGGTCAGAGTGTAGGTAGTCCATGCCAACGTCACGTTTTCTGCAACATTGACATATCATTCCACACGCCAGCACCGGATAATCAATAGTGACTTTCTCTCATCTCGGATATTAAGACATGTGCTATATATCGCACTGCAATCTCGCTGGTGAATCTGATACCCATGCCCCGGGGGACAAGAGAACTCTTCAACTCTGGCCTGAATTTAGGGTATTAAAAATAAACTCAGCAAAGGATATCCTAAATCTAGCAAAGTTATCCTAAATTTACCCCAAGTTACCTAAATCCTTTTGTCATTTAGGATCAAGGTCCTGAGTTTTCTTTCCTTCCCTAGCCATGGGCCTTTCCTTTGCCAGATCTCGCTTATGTTGTATCATTTTTACAGTTCACGAGAAAGAAAGTGATTGTCCTGGTAAACCTCACAAGTGAGGTGATTGTACAAATCTATATCACTTGGGAGCAACTCTATTGATCCCCGGTTATTAACGTCCTGTTGCTCCTTTAAGACACCTAGACTGCTCTGGAGGACTGTCATCACACGTCGTATTGAGATTCAAATCCCCTGAAAACCCGCGGGTCCCTAGGCCCGAACGTTTCATTGGAGGTCCTGAATAGAGAAAAATACCCGGACTAACCATGCTCCAGTGAACTACTCCTGCAAGCTCAACCACTACGACCACTAATTTCAGCATTGGCCCCACTGTTCCGCCTAACCCGACCGACCCTGCGAAGTAGCCCCGTCCCTCGTTCTGGTTGCATTGCGTGTCCCTTTCTCTTGGTGGCTGATAGGCTGTTGCTCCTTTCCATCTCATGAGAGTGGCTCCTCCTACCTTGTCCACCATCATACGGGGGACATTGAATATTCCGGTTCGGCGGCCCCTCTCATCTCGTAAAGTCCTGCCATATCCATTCCCTTGATCCAACTACTTTCTACTGCCTGCTATTGTCAAGTATTATATTCTGTGCGTTACATCTTCTTACTTGGCTCTATTATCGTGTTTCGCCGACTACATCCGTTCTCGTTATCTCCAGCATCAATCATACACGGCTGCTCTCCTTAGCCCTTGCATTGGCCTTCCATTTGCCTCTGAACGCCTTCGCCGTGACATCATTAGGGGTAGCATCTACAGTTACTTATATCTGAACTCAAACCGATTCATCTTTCATCGACGACGCAAACTCTGGGTGTTTGCACCCGTGCTATTCTTCGCCGATTCTCCCCTCCTCCCACTCGACTTACGCTTTCTGCAAATTGACCCGTCAATACCGCCAAGCTGTCTTCTCCAATCTTACTCCAGCGCACCGTCTCCTACGACGCGGCGAACAAGCCTCCGCGCCGAGGCAGCATCTATCTCAACATGCCCGAAAGAAACGCAACGGGAGGAGCTGGAGCCCGAAGGAGGAGATCTAGCAGTATCCTCCAAGTTTACCACGAGCCTCCCGAGACTCTCGAGCAGATCAGCGACCAAGCTTCCCTGCCTAATCTTAACGCCAACTGGACAAATGCTAAAGGTATGCCTGACCCATTTTGCCGCGCATCTGTATCTTCACTTGCACAATAATCCCCGAGAGCCACATGCTAACGTGTAGTGCCCTTTAGGTGCCTGGACCATTCATTTCGTCCTGATCGTGTGCGCCAAAATCATATTTGACGCCATCCCTGGTGTCTCGCAGGAGACTTCATGGACGCTTGTCAACATGTCATACATGTTTGGCTCCTACATCATGTTCCACCATGTTCGTGGCGTTCCCTTCGATTTCAACAGTGGCGCTTTTGACAACCTCAACATGTGGGAGCAAATTGACAATGGCGCGCAGTACACGCCCACTAAGAAGTTTCTTCTTGGTGTTCCGATTGCATTGTTTCTCGTCAGCACCCATTATACGCATTACGACTTGACATACTTTACTATCAACTTATTGGCTGTACTGGGAGTCGTCATCCCCAAGCTACCTTTCGTATGTTGCTATGCCACCCCTCTATTTGTTTGTGTCTCTGCATCTATGACATGTCCTCTTCATTTTGTTTACATAACATACTTTGTAATTGGCATCATCTGCTAACACAAGCTCAGAGCCACCGAATGCGATTTGGGCTGTTCTCAGGTCTACCGGAGGAATAGGAGACCGAATAGGGAGCAGAAGCAGAAGCAGAAGCAAAATAACTATCATCGAGCCGATTTGCTGTATTAGTATCAGGGGCGTCAGGGTAAGATTATTTTTGGCGAGAAAGAGAATTGGGGGATTGTGAAAAATAAGAAGAGCTCGAGATTGTGCAAGTTGATAGCGAGCAGTATTTACAACGCGGCTGGTGGGCGGAGTGTTCGGTCGTTCAGCGGTAGCTTCAAAACAGCAATTGGATTTGGAATCGGCATATTTCTCAACAGTTTGTCATCCCTTGTTCCCCTCGATATCCGCTCCTCATCTATTACCCCTCGATTGATCCGCCTCTCACACTGGCAGGATGTCGATTGGCTCCTCCGTGTTGACTGGGAATGCTCATAAGTAAGAAGTCATTGGACTGTTCTCAAGCATAAACGAGTGCTTACCGCCTCATGGAGTCTTGATCGTACGAGGAGACAAGCCCAGAGATGATTCTTTGGCGGCATGGCGTTCCGTCACCCAGGCAATTGGCTTCTCCTGTCGTATTTCGGAGCCATATTTGCAATCAAGTAAAAAAAACCCAAGTTCCCCTCTTTGGAAAGTTCATTGACAGCACATCAAGTATAAAGCAAGGACCTGATCCCCGGTTACCTTCCTCTTCCTTGGAGTTCTCCAGCATCCTTAGTTATTAAAGCATACTCCAAGGAAAGTTCTCTGCTCTCCTTTTTGTTTCAAAATATTGCATTACAGCAACATCAAGCATGAGATACAACGTTTTGGCCTTTATGGCCCTCGTCAACGGCCTCGCTCAGGCCAATCGTTTCGACTGGCAGAGCGAGTCCAAGGCTGATGTTGCCAAGCATGAGCATAAGAACGCTGCCGACCCTGTCTTTAAGGTGGAGGTCAACAAGGGTCAACTTGAGTCTGGGAAAATTAAGAAGCAGGGCGAGAAAGCCGAGGAAGAGGTCAAGAAGCTGGAGGAGAAGCTGCAGAAGAAAGAGGATGAGCTTGAGCTCAAGGCTGCACAGGCTGGAGGGAACCGCCATCACCACCACAGCCACTCCTCCTCATACTCCCCTGATCCTACCCACGACCCAGCCACAAAAACTACTGGATATCATCGCCATCATTCAGGCCACCTCCAAAAGGGCCCCTACACGCTTGATGGAGAGAAATACGACTATATCCATAAACCAAAGGTCCACTTCTACACCTCTTACACTACCCACGCACCTACTCTCAGTCCTGGATGTGTCGGTGACAAGTGTTCTCGTAAGCCTTGTAAGGAATGCCATGGCAACTGGGCACAGCCTGGCTGCTGGCACTGCAAGGCCCATGGAGCTACTGGTGAGGAGGTTGCTGAACAGGCAGCGAAAACTACGAAGCATGCTCCTAAAGAAACCAAGGCCAAAGAGGAGGAGGAGGAGGTGGAGGAGAAGAAGAAGAAGAAGGATCCTCACGCAAAGACATACACGCATGGAGACAAGACTGTCATTGTTCCTAAGGAGACCAAGGCCCCTGAAGCTACTCGGCCTGAAGCTCCCCAGATTGAACAACCTCATACAGAGGGCCCTAAAGTCATCGTCATCGAGGAGCCCAAGAAGAAACCCAAGGGGGAGAAGAAGTCCGAAGAGGAGAAAGAGGAGAAAGAGAAGTACCACAAGGAGAAGCCTAAGCATGAGTACCCCAAGGAGGAGCCAAAGCACAAGCACCACAAGGAGGAGCCCAAGAAGGAGGACATCTGTGACAAGGTCCATCACCATGGTCAGCCTAGCATCTGTGACAAGATCAAGCATCAGCACCACAAGGTTGATGAGCCTAAGAAGGAGGACATCTGTTCGAAGCCCAAGGGTTGCCATCCCCATCAGGCTCCCGCTCCCGCTCCTCATCATGAAGTAAAGCCTGCTCCTGCTCCTGCTCCTGCTCCTGCTCCTGCTCCTGCTCCCGCCCCTGCTCCTCACTATGAAGTGAAGCCTGCTCCCGCTCCCGTCCCGGCTCCTCATTACCCCGAGCAGAAGCATGAGGTTCAGCCTGTCCCTGTCCCTGCTCCAGCCCCCCAACAGCCAGCTCCGGCTCCGGCTCCGGTCCCAGCCCCTGCTCAGCCTGAAGGAGCCAAGCCTGAAGAGGGCAAGCACGGCAATGCTCCCTCAGTTCCTATAACAGTGCCCAAGTCCGGAGCCACCTACAACCGCGTCTCTGTTGGCATCGCCGTCTTTGCAGGTATTGCCAGCATGATGCTTCTGTGAGCTTCAAATTGAGTCTTGTATGAAAGTCCGCTGAACGAAGCACCACTGAAAGGGATACGTTGGAAGCACGAAGATGGTGTTTATAAAAATGTGGTATTATGTCCGTGAGATCTTTGGAATAGGGCCTTTGAGATTATCTTTGGATTCATAGATGACTAGTAGTTTTCAATTGATCGTCCCCTCCTTTTGTTTCACTTCTCTCACTAATGAAGAGAACCACACCCATTGAATGCCCGTTAACCTACCAGCGGGAATTTAGTCGGAGTAAGGATCGGATCGAGAGGCATACCGCCGACCTGATGCTTTGTCATTACGAGCTGACGTCAATGTCCTTACCTAACAGTGCGGGGCAGGATATCCTGGACTAAGTGAGCTACCTTACTTATACTACTCCGTACTAGCTGTGGCATATTCCCCTTCAGGAAAAGCACGATTTTGACCATCTCGTCGATGGTAGGAATTATAGAATCCGACATAGAATCTTTATTAGAGACATACCACTCAGATATTGTAAACTCCCTAGATTTAAATAAAATCAGCTAAATTGTCAAGTCTTACTCCTGTTACCTAGACCTTCGTTTCCCGGTTGGCTGTATTCTGACGTCTTGGTGCACTCCGTACATCTGGCAGAACCCCCTCCTTCGTGGTCAGTTTTATCTCCGAGCTACAATACCGAAGACCAGGGTATAAAACAGCGCCTTCAGGCTTCATTCGTTTTCTTCGATAATCAAGACCTTCAGAAACTATTCTGCTCACAATCCAGCCAAGATGAAAGACAACAGCATTCCTCTCTATGCTTCACCCCAGCTGGGCCAAAAAGTCACTGACTACGCGGAGCAACACTCGACCCCGTTACCCAAGTACATTAGCGATTATCATGCGGATATCTCTGCCAATAGAGAGGATTCATACTATATGAGCTCTGTTTTTCAGTCTCAATATAATACCTTTCTTGCAAAATGTATTGGTGCTACAAGGGGTAGGTCAAGATACCTTAACATGGGACTAGATTTCCTGAGGCTTTTCTCATCAGCCAGGAGAGCAATGCTGATCACCATCTGATAGTTCTAGAAATCGGTGTCTATGTTGGCTTCTCTGCCCTCGTATGGGCTGACGCTGTAGGACCGAGTGGACTTGTGACTGGCTTGGAGTTCGAGCCCGAGTACGCTGAATTATCCAAGAAGGCTTTCGCAGCAAATGGAATCAATAATGTCGAGATCATCGTCGGCCCTGCTTCGGAGTCGTGAGTTATTTATATATGCATCATTTTACACCACCAATTACTGATGCTCGAATAGCTTACCCAAACTCAACCCCACCGAGCCCTATGATCTTGTTTTCATCGATGCAGACAAGACTGGTTATCCGGGATACTTGAAGCAACTGCTCGAGTTGTCGGAGCCTGGTAACTCGAGCAGAATCCTCCGGCCAGGCGCTCTCATCGTCTCAGATAATGTGCTGCGCCGAGGGTTGGTTGCGGACGACAAGGCGCTCGGTGACAACGAGCTGAAAGGCGATCAATTGAAGAACGTTTTAGCTGTGAGACAGTTCAATGATTTGGCATTGCAGAGCCCACGACTTGAGACCTTTCTCCTGCCGTTGTGGGATGGCGTCAATGTTTCCCGTCTTCTTGATTAGTGGTGGCACTGTCTCAACTGGAGGACGATCAGAATGGTATATGGTAAGATATATTATGGCTAAAGAAATATAAAGACAAGAAAAAAAATAACCTTGACACATCCTAGGCTGGTGTCGTCTCCTTTGATATTCACACTTCATGATCTCGTATCTGGAAAACCATGTCTAGGCATCGTTTTACTCCAAATGTCGTTATTACACCCCCTTCTTCTGACTGGCGGTAAGTGATTGATTATGAAAAACACCGCCGAAACTTGAATTGATTAATTAGTAGCGGGTGGGCGAAGAGTTGTAAGCTGCCATCTTCTTGTTCTCGCGGTTGCGGCGACGGCGGCCAGAACAGCAGGTAACGAAGACGGAGATAGTTCCAATAAGACAGAGAATAGCTGCGGCGAGGACGAGCCAGATGCCGACAGACCAGCGAGCACTGGCAGAGGTGTCTCGGTTGATACGTCGTCTGACAATGGAAAATCCAGCGAAGTCACAAGCCAGGGCAATGATAGTAACAAAGAAGGCCAGGAGTGAAACAAGCGTGGACATGAGGGAGCCAAAGATGCCGGCACCAAGAGCCAGGAGAAAGGCAATGAAGCAAAGTCCAGCACCAACAGGATGCAGGACCATGACATATGTTAGGGCCTTTGCAGTGTCTGAGCCAGCCTTGGAGAAGTCGGTGCCGGCGACAGCATTGGAAGGGTCGTAGCCAATGCGAGCGCTAGTACAACTATCGCTGCGGATTATTAGACGACGAAATCAGACACGGTGTGTTCAAGTGATGTGGACTTACCTCCCGCTGCTTCTTGTGACACAATACCCAAAAGTTCCAAAATTCACACCATTTCCTCCTCCAGAGTTGCCGTTCAAGTTGACCTTGAGGAGGGCAATGTCATTGACAACGGGAGCTGTAATGCTCACGACAATGAGCATGACTGTTGCTGCCAAGAGAAAAAAGGCACCAATATGGTGAATGAATCGTCCTAGACCCATTTTGATGGTTATGGTATGGTATGGTTTGGTAGTGTTGAGCGTCTGCTCCTCAAAGATTGTAGGAAGTTATGTAGTTATTGAGAGGAAACGAATCCGCTTGCCGACAATACGAAAATAAATGGCAAGAAACCGAGAGAAGCAGGCCAAGATATATAGTCACTCGGTCGTATGAGGGTTCCCGTGTCATGGATTCATGGAGCCAATGCCAGGAACCAACATTGTGCAGAGTCGTTCCGTGAGACGTCATCACTAAGCCCTGTTCTAGGTCTCGAGTGTGCCGAAATCCGGCATGATCAAAGCCAAGACAGGCTATATCGTGGTATGGCATCCTCATCGCAAGAAGCCGTCTCTACTACGTAGTGACGTAGAGTTGGTGGCTTCGGCCGAATCGTGGCTCATCTACCGGGGTGTGGGCCGCCCCGAATTTCTTGATTTGGGTCTCTTTGGTGTCAATTAGATGATTTAGATCAATCTTGGTCCTCTGACCCTGCATTTCAGACAAGACTAACCCACCTGGGTCAGATCATACCAGATCCTTGTTTGGAAGCTTTGCTTGTTTCTTTTCCCAATCAGCGTCACAGTTCACACTTATCTTCAGTAGTGTGAACTGTAATGTGGTTCAGAGAAGCAGGTGGGTGAATACCAGACATCAATACAACGAGGAGAAATCGCTTGTTAGACTACTCGGTGAACCCCGTTCTGTGTCTAGCTGCCTGTGCATACATTGATTGTGTACCTATATCTCTGTCTGGGCGCATGTGTAATCTTTTCTCCCAGTCGTACGCTGCATATTGCGATAACTAGTCAAGATCTGCACTATCAGAGAAAGAAGCGAATCGTCAACATGGCTGAGTTAATAAGGTGGAGAATCGTAGAATTGTGTTGCGCAAGTGCCGCCTAAGCCTTGGGCAATGAAGCTGATTCAAATGTCTTGGTCTTCAGAAGTGTTACGCGTCTCTTGCTCATCCGCATTTGACTCTCATTCCCGGCGGCGCTGCATATGTTTTCGACGCTCCCATTCTCCCACTGTCTGCGATACTGGCGCTCTAGGCGGTGTTTTTATCTTCGTTGGGATCCAATTGCGGGTTTGTAATCTGTCAATCTTTCTGGAATCCATTGTTGGTTCGTGTCCGAAATCAACGTCCCAACGGCTCAAGCCCCTAGCTGCGATACTATTAGGGAGCGACTGTTGCAGAGTTTTTGAAGCAAGAGTCTTATTTTTTGTGACGAAGTCTGGCCAGACGCTCGCGAGAAACGAGCTGGAGCTGCCCTTATGATTATATGCGGGAGACTCCGTTATTTCGATGACAAATTTGTTGTCTTCTGGATTGGAAGACTGCGAAGGCTGCTTTTCAAACCTCGGTTTTAGCCCGTCTACTTTCACAACAGACCTTGGCTCCTTGCAGGATGAAGGAACGGTAATCTTGACTGGGCTTGAAGAGACGGCTTTGGTGGCAGCTTCACTTTTTTTCATCAGTGATATGAAGGCAGAACCTTGACCCTACAGTTTAAAACAGTCAGCGAGAACGGCGAGTGTCCGCACAGTTCGAAATAAGCCATACCGGCATAAGTTTGAAGAACTCTACTGGGCCATATTGTTCAAGCGCCCTCAGAACAGAGCGTCTCTCAGCAAAATTGATTGGTGCGGGTGAGACGTAGAGACGTATAGAGCGCTTCCCAATTTCTATATTCTTGAGGTGAGCCGTAGCCAGACGCTCAGCTTTCGCGGCTAATTGGGCTGCTCTGTAGGTTTCCGAAGCAGACATGTTGATGTGGTCCTTAGAGTTGGTGAAGCGAAGATTTCAATGTTAAGAAAACGATCCACTGGGCTACATTTCATATTCAAATTGTAGGTAGCTCGACTTTTCCTCCACTATCGGCTCGGCTTCGGTGGGGCCGGACTCCAACTTAAGGTACGCCAGAGCTCTTCCCCTATTGGATCCATCTTTGTTGCTTTCAACCTGGAGCTCCAAACATTTCGAACCGAACCAGGGCGACCTGTTGTTAATCCCCAGATTCCTTGCCACGCTTTGAAGTCATTGCTGAAAGTGTGACCTACCTGTTCACACGGCGCATTTTAGATCCTCACATAAGAGATACAACTCTATTCGCGCCCTCACAGGAGGGCATAACCACTTTCGCGATGGCGACGCCGACAGCAGCAAAGCATGCTTCGCAACAGGGCCGGACCCCCTCGCAACTCGCCGCCGCGACTCCTCCTGTATCAACTCCCTTCTCCAATCCCGCCCATGTTGTCTTTTCGCCCAGGGGGCCACGATCATCCCCTCAACAATTCAAGAAGTCGCCTGCCGCTTCAACCTTGATGGCGCACGCCTCCAACGCTCCTCTCAACTTCGACAGCCCTTCCACAGCTGCCG